AGAAAAAGAGAGTTTCTGATATTGCCTTGGTTTTAATCATTCTTAGAGATTGTATAGGCAATATTCAGAGAGTTAAAAGAATCCTAAGCCACTGCAGCACTTCACTACACATTCAAGGCTTATAGGATCAATTGTGTTCTTGCTTCAAAAAGGATTTCTCTCGGGTTTGAGAGGGTTGATCTCTTGGTTTAGAGATTGGGTGGCAATTGGCATGGTCTTGTCAATTGGTGTTGCAATTTGCATGGTCTTGCAAATTGGTCAGGTTTGCTTTTGATTTTGTAAGGTTTTAAAATCATAGTGGAAATCTCAAGCAGGATTTGCTTGGGGACTGGATGTACACCGGGTTGGTGGAACCAGTATAAAACTTTGTGTTTGTGATTGTGAATTTCTGAGATTGCCATTTTTCTTTGTAATTTATAATCTACTTTGCATATATTTTAAAAGAATACTATTCACCCCTCTTCTAGTGTTCTAGTGTATCTATTTCAGATCCTACAATGCAGACCTTAATTTTCTTAGAAAAGCAATGATGGATCATTTTATGGCCAAGAACAATAGAGTCTAGAGTGGATTTGCCAGATTGGAAGGCAGATTGAGTTGGATAAACCAACGAGGGAAGGAAGCAACAGAGCATATTAGCTAGGACATTAATGAATATTTTGAACAGGCCGTTGAGCAAGCTGGTGGGTCTAAAGTCAGAGGCATTACAAGGTAAATTGGATTTGGGTATGAGAGATATGAAGGAGAAGTTGATTTTTTGTAGGGGTGTAGCATCTTCGAAGAGATAAGAAAAGAAGGCAAGCAGGTCCTCTCTGATGGTTTCCTAGAAGGATTGATAGAATAGGATTGGGAAGCTATCCGAGCTTGGGGATATTGGATGGAGGCCGAAACTGTTGCCTTAATTTTTTCAGCAAAGAAGGGGGTTTCCGGGGAATGAAAGTTTGGGCAAGGGGAAGGGTAGAGATGCTCCCGGTCAACCTAAAAGGGGGATGGGGGGATGGCTTTGAAGAGGTTAGAGAAGTGGTGGAAAAAGGCCAGTTGTTTTTTTGGTTCTAAATAAATGGTTGAATTGTCGATGTTTAGGTGTGGGATGAAATTTTTTCTTCTGTGGTTGGATGCTATTTTGTGAAAGAAATAAATGTTGGAGCTCCTTCTTTGAGCCAAAGGAGTATGGACCTCTGTTTCCAGTAAGTCTCCTCCTGTTCGGCTAAAGTAGAGAGGGAATCTCTAAGGGAGGCTCTCAGGGAGACTTCAGAAGGGTGGAGGGGTCTGGATTCTTCAAGGATATTTAGAGAGTGTATGTTGTTCAGGGTAGATGTCTTGTTATGTATGATGGTTCCATAAAAAAAAATTTCCCACCATTTAAGTCTATGTTTGAGAAGTTTGAGTTTGTGGTAGAAAGTCTCCACTATGTTGCCGATGCAATTGAAGTTTTGCCAACAGCTGGTGAGGAAAGGTGAGAAGGATGAGTGTGAAAGCCAAGTTTTCTCCAATCTGAATAGAGGTTGAGGGGAGGGGCACGAGGTGCCAAGGATGATGAATGGGTGATCCAAGCATGAGGTAGGATGGCAGAATTGAATGAGGGAAGGAAATTGAGATTCAAAGTCAGAGAAAATGAGGAATCTGTCTAACCTGGCTAAGATAGGGGAGGATCACATGTTGGACCACGTGAATTTCCTTCCATTGAGAGGGATATCTATAAGGGAGAGGGAATCGACTAGGCTTTTGAAGCAATGCATATCAGAAAGGGAGGCTGATCTGCCACTTCTCTCATTAGCGAAGATGATGACATTGAAGTCTCTAAAGAGGGACCAAGGCAGGGGAAACATTGTATGAATTTTCTGGAGCTCCCACCAACATACTTCTCTATCTAGTCTATCAATGGGCGCGTAGACAGAGGTGACTAGGAATTTTCAATTAAGAATCTTGTGGTGAAGCACAGATAAAACAATGAAGATGCTTATGTAGGAATCTAGACAATCAAACATAGAGGCATTCCATCCTAATAGCACACCACCTACGGAATCAACAACTTCTAATTGAAGTCAGGACGAGATTTTATGACCACCAATACTCTTGAGGACTAAAGGTCTCATGGCACTAAGTTTGGATTCTTGGATCCCTATGATGTATGTAGAGGCTAGATGAATACTATCTCTAACTAATTTCCTTTTAATAGGGTTGGTAAGCACCTTGACATTCCACGAACCAAGCTTCATAAGATCTAGAGAGGAGACAACAAAGGCTAGGACGTGCCGGGGCTAAGAGGAGGTCCCTGCACGATCGGACTCAAGGGCTCTGAGACTCGTCAGGCCCTCAAGGGAAATGGGGTCCTTAGCACCACAGTTGGAAAGAATGATAGCTAACATGGAGTCTAATTTTCTATTTAGAGGGAGCGAGACAGAGCAAGAAGAAGAAGACATACTGTTTTTGGTGGAGGAGGCCAAGGATCTTGAGGCAGCCAGGTGACAGTGAAATGCTTTGTGCGCCATGCCCCTCCGCAGCACCTTGGCCTTGCCCACAACTCTTTTCTTATGCCCTCAGCTATGTGCTCGAATCCAGGGGGAATAGAGGAGGACTTAGCTCTGGTAGTCTAACTAGGAGAACCATATGAGGAACTGGCAGCAGAGGGTGAGGGGAGGACTACAGGAACAAGGACTGGGTGAGCAAAGCCGCCAACTCCTTGGGCCTAGAGGAAGCGTAGCCACTGCTCACACTCTAATATCATATTGTTGTCGTCCTAGGTAACCTCAATCAGCTCTGGTTCAGCGCCAAAAGGCTAAAACTATTGAGGCCCCAAATTAATGCAATTTTACCAAGCAAGGGGTCCTTCTAGCAAAATTGTCGCCACTTTCAAATTGTGGGGTGAAAAGACTATTTTGCCCTTGTCCTTATCCTTCTAAGATGGCCGCTCCGGCGAGGTTTGATGTTGTCTAGCCAGTGGAGCTTGATCGACGACCATGCCGGGCGAGCCCCTATCAACTCATCCCAACCCATCCCGACTCTGAAGAGGAGTTACCCTCCCACTTTGCTTGGAGCTCCTGAATGGTTGGTTTCTCGAAGGCCTGCTTAGAGATAGGCCTTCCAATGATATGAATAACTGTGTAGCCCTCTATGAGGCTACCATCAACAGGGTAGATGTAGCGGTATCTGATTCTCTTCGGGATATCGGAGAAATCCCTAATCTTGATGAGGACTTTGTAGTCCCTGAAGTTGTCTCTGAAAGCCACATCCTTGGAGCTCATGATGCACTCTCCGACGTCTTTGAACAAGGTCTGGAGGAACTCCGAGAACCACAGGTGGTAGGGTAGCCTGTGGATGCCAACCTAGTGAGAAAGGGCTTGGGGCGGATGGAGAGGCTAAGGTCCTCCCTCCATATGAGGAATCTACCCTTGAAGGAGCCTATGTCTATGAGCTTCAGTTCCAAGGCTTAGTCGAGGAGGTCGACAGAAGGAAACTGCACCATAAAGCTGGTATCTGCTGCTTGCTTAATCTGGAAAGGCCATTCCTAGAGGTTGAAACGGTAGGCAAGTATTTCTCTGAGCTTGGAGATGGAGGGGTTGTCAGACGCTAGGTAGAAGATGGCGAAGGAGGAGAGCTCCTGAATGAGGTCGCTAGATTCTTAGGGATCTGCAGAACCGGAGACAAGGCTGAGGATCTGAATGTCTGAGGGCAATCCCTAGAGATGTGACCCTTGCATAGACATGAGAAGCAGATGAAGTCTCCTTCTGGGCAGTCTCGAGCCATGTGAGAGATGCTGTGGCAAAAAAAGCACTTGAGGGGAGGCAAAACAGGCAGAGGCGCTGGAACCCAAGAAGCACGACGCAATTTCTTACGGTTGATGATTATAGTCCAGCCTGCTTCGACTACTAGGAGTGGAGGGAAGTGAGGGAGGGGGAGGATGCCCTTAGTGGATTGCGGAAGATTTTGTTTGTGATGATGGTTCTGAGATTTTCTAGAGAAGAGGAAGCGAAGGGTTTCGGAAAAGGAACTTTTTTAATCGATTGAATTCCCATGGAAACATGCGAAGGAAAGGAGGGGCAGGAAAAGCGGGTAGTGGGGTGATAGGCGGTGATGGAGAGAGGTTTGGCGGTTGCTAAGGTGAACTGCTTACCTTCTGGGTGTGCTGAGTGCTCCGATGCTCTCCTCCTCCCATCTATTCTCCTTGTGTCAAAATTCTACGGTGTATATTATTCTACAAAAGAATTGGCTAAAAGCCTAAAAAACTTTTTGTCAATATTTTCTGAATTTTGACACAAATATTGTTAGTCTTTAGGAGAAATAATCTGAAACATGACCTTTATTTTCAATATAATCATTATTCTTTCTTAATAAAAGTTTCTATTTCCCTATATGTAAGCATCAGACTATAATCAATTTACAATATATTTTCCACCTAATATTTTACTTGATTTAAAAAATTTGGAACTTGCTAATAAACACTTGCATAAATATCATAGCTCCATAACTTCATATTTTTATTACACGAAAAAATAATTTCATATTTTCATTTAAAATAAGATATTTACTGTTAGATTAACAACAAATTTAACCTAAAACATCCTGTCAGGATATTCTAGAAGAATTAAATAAATTTTCTTAGTGAAGCTATCCACAATAGGTAAGTGTTAACTTTTTGGCAAAAAAGAAAAATTTAGTATTTAAGTGAATTGCAGTCAAAATTTTGATCTCATCCATAGTATTCAAAGTCTCTATCCAAAATTTTGTCCGACAACAGGCTATTTATGATATTCAACGTTCATATGTATTTTGCATTTTGAAGGGAATGGGCATAATGGAGATATCCTTTCACTGGCTAGTCATATAGCCAACGTGTAAATTAAATCTATTAATATTTAATATTTTCTTATCCAATAGGGGCATTTTAGGCCACACCACAAAATCAAATCTCAACCGCTCCTCTTCTCTCTTTTTACCGACCACAGGGGCATTTCTGGAATACCAACCCGATCTCTTCCCCATATAAACCCATTTCCCACAAAAAAAAACCCGAACAAATTGGAGAAAAAAATAACCCATCAAAATCGCAGAAAAGCCAATCAAAATCACAAAATAGGGAATTTCAGCGAATGGATGATGCTCTTCTCCTAAATTTCCCTCCTTCTTCCAAGCTCGCCCTCTTCCTCTCCTCTAAATCCCTAACCCTCTACCGGTAGTCCCATAAAAATCCCCTTTTTTATACGTTTTTTTTGTGTGTGAAGTTTTTGATGGGTAATGGAGTTTCGAGCATAGAGGGTGGGGCCCACGAGACGGCGATGGGGGATTTGCCGGAGAGTTGCGTGGCTAGGGTTTTGATGGACATGGGGCCCGCTGAGATCTGCAGTCTGGCGAGGTTGAATCGAACGTTTTGGGCGGCGGCGGCGGCGGGAGGGTTTTGGGAGAGGAGGAGCGCGGGAAAGTTGTGGGGAGAGGGAAGAAGGAGGTTTATTCGAGGCTTTGTCGGCATACTTTCTTCGATGGAGGCACAAAGGTATAATTTTTTTGCTTCATTTTATTAATTAAGTCTTGCTTTGTCAATTTCAGCTTTCCCTGACTTTATGAATTAAATTGAAGGGCAATGGATTGCATTTCATATTTTCTGTTCGTTAATTTTGGGGGTGTTTGGATGGAATTTTTTTGGTGGGTAGATACTGGGTTTTCTATCGTTATTATTATTTTTGTATTTTGCTTGGTAATTGTTTGGATAATTCGGATTTTGGATTTATTTGATACGTTTTATTTTATCTAGGTATCATGCAAAATTATCTTGTTCCAGATGTTATACTGTGGGCTTGATTTGCTTTCTAGAGGGTGTAGCTGGGATCTTTGTCTGTAAGCAAGGGAAAGGGATGTTATGTGGGCTTGATTTGCTTTCTAGAGGGTGTAGCTGGGATCTTTGTCTGTAAGCAAGGGAAAGGGATGTTAAAAGCGTTTTTAGGTTAAAGTTGGGGATTATATTTGGTTTGTGTTGGATTGAGAATTGTTCTTTGAAGAAATTAACTCTTCAAATTACTACACAAGCGTCTTTTGGTGGTTCTTTTTCTTTTAGATAGATACTTGGTTTGTTTAAAGTGGATCTTACATTTATTTTTCGACGTTTCTTGTAGTTAAATGCGGAACTTTGGGCTCACAGATCATTTTTTGGGAACAAAGGTTGGCTGTTTTTATTAGTGGGTGTTTTTATTAGTGGATGTATAAGTGGGTGTTGAGGTCAGATATTTTTGTTATTACAAAGACATTTTGCTTATCTGAACTTGATGCCATCACACCTGTGTATGACGGTAAGAGGTTGTCATGTTTCTCTTATAGCAATTTTGTTTCGCTATGCTGTTGTATGTTAAGTTTTCTTATTGGGTTAAAGTATTATAGAATATTTCTTTGTTTGCTTGAAGCTGGAGCCCATTAATGAAGGAGAAGGAAGCGACCCAAATTGCGATTTAAAAAAAATTACTTTAATGCTGTGATATTTTCTCTGAAGGAGACTGACACTGTTCATTTAGCCTCTCTGCTCTTTTCTTATTTCTCCATTTTTTAATACTTTTTTGAAGGTTTGGGGGTAGGTTTAGGCTTGTCATATCGTTATTAAACTGGATTTTGTATTCCTTTTTGCTCTTTTATGACAAATCTTAATCTGGGTGATGGTGATTGTAGGAGTTTTGGATGGTGAAACACACCGGTGGAGTCTGCATGTCGATTTCTTCAAAGGCTATGTTGATTACTGGAATCAATGATCGAAGATACTGGAATTACATCCCTACTGAGGAATCAAGGTATATACCATTTCTATAAAGTTTGGTAGATATGATTAAATAAGTATGATTAAATATGATCAAAGGCTATGTTGATTACTGGAATCAATGATCGAAGATACTGGAATTACATCCCTACTGAGGAATCAAGATATATACCATTTCTATATAGTTTGGTAGATATGATTAAATATGATCAAAGGCTATGTTGATTACTGGAATCAATGATCGAAGATACTGGAATTACATCCCTATTGAGGAATCAAGGTATATACCATTTCTATTATTATGTTTCATGAAAGATTGTGCGTTTACTATGAGGAATCATGTACACACCACATTTCTTTGTAGCCCTGGGTATCAAGGTTAACTTTGTTCTTGGTGTACTAGTTTATGATTGAGCAGTTTTGTTTAAAATGTCCTTAATTCGCTTGGTGATTCACATTCTTGTTAGTATTATTTTAATTTGTTATTGCACGCAAAACAAAATTCAATGTTTTTCTTAAAGAAAATACTTGTTCACATTTTCCCACGCTGTTACCGATAATCTATACACAGGTTGATAGTTTTGTCAAATTTTATTTGTGTGAAGTTACTCCAAAATCCACTATTAACTCCGTACAGTCAGCAACTTTTTCGATGTGTATTTTTTTGGCTTCCACGTTATGTTTGGCCCTTTTGCGCCTTTTCTGCAGGGTCCTGAACGAATATAAAATGTTGTCTATTGTTGTGAAGATATGATCCTTTAGTTTTATCTGGTTTTCATTATGATGGTTAATGCACGTTGCAGTTATTCACATTTAGTTAGTTGATTTCATGTATATAGTATCATTTGTGTCCAACTCATTGACCATTTTAGAAGAAATAGTTTTTAGGTTAGAGCTGGATTTCGGATCAGTTCTGAAATCCATTCATAGCTCTGAAAATATAGATATCAATCTCTTCTATCTGCAATTTCTGTTTGTTTTCTAGGTATATTGGGATTCATTTTCTATAGCAATGACAAAAGAAGTGATATCTTCTAGTATCTGGTGATCTTTAGGCTTCATGTTAAAATACTAAATACTTTCTATGAAGGTATTTGTTAAGATGTAGTTTCCCAGTTAGTAGTTACTGTCTGGCCTCTATACATCAGATCACATGAAAGCCGTATTGGCTTCATGTAGAAAGTGTACACCTCTTGGCACATTGCCAATTATGACACCGACTCTTAATGGGTTGGAATGTTGAGAACTAAACATTGGTAACTTCTCGATTTCAATGTAGTTGTGAATACATGAACAATTGACAAAAGATGCAAAGAAATGTCTGGAGCAGAGAGGTATGGAGGGATTTGGTATTCAGATAATTAAAATAACAAGCTCTTAAACAACTTGTCGTCTTATCGCTTGACATGTCAAATATAATGGTTACTGAGTCTTTGGAGGAGAATTTTCTCCAGTAGCAGTGCCGCCAACCTTTACTTTAGGAGCCTATTTTTTTATCTAACATGTATTTGATATAATAGTGGCTGTGAACTATTTTCTTAATATTGTTTTCGATTCTTCAGTTGTTAGTATCAACGAGTAGATTTCAGTTATGTGTAAGATGTTGTGCATCCAATTAACATTTTTCAATTTTGTTTTGTCTCTTTTCTTCATAGAGTTTCCTATCAATCTAAACTTCATATAACATTTTTATCTTTCTTTTATTGAATAAATTATACATTGAAAACTGGTTGAGTTTGAACTCGATATCCAAACGACTTTTTAAAATCACACTTAATGAACTGTGTATGGGCTAAAGCGAATCCGACAGGAGTCTAATTATTTGAAGAAATTTGAGGTGAATTGTAAGATATACGTCCAAGAGGTGTATCACGAGTGCTTTAAACTGAAACATGTATTATATAATTGAATACACGCTTGAGTAAATTTATGTATATATTCAACAAGTGTCCAAGGAGTATCGGACATGGGAACAGACACGGAGCCTAGATGAAGTGTTGGGGTAACTTAGAGAACAATTCCCTTCTTACCTCTGTCTACACTTCGAACACAAGTGAATTTTGACTCTTGCTCCTTGGATTGCACAAGGTTAAAGTTGTACCACAAACTAGTTAGTGTCGGTGACGTAGCAGAAAATCAAACCGCATACCAGCGTAAGAAAGAAAAAAACCAGAGAAAATAACCATAGAAACATGGGGACTTAACGAGATTCGGCAATCAAAGTGATTACCTACATCCTCGGAGTATAGCCAGGTTATGATTCCACTAATAATCAATGAAGATTTATCGATCTCTCAAACACTAATTTCACTTCCCTATACTCTCTCTTTTCCCTCTTTGCAATACATAGTCGATGGTGTGTGAGGTACATATTTACAATGTGGGGTTTCTGTCAGTAGGGCCAGAACTGCGTAATACTCACACCTCACAAACTTAAATTCAATTTTGATCTGGGATGCTGCTTGGAGACTTTGTCAGGGGGGCGCCCGCCACTGGACCTCCACTCACTGTCCGTTGCAGGTGCGGCTACTCCATTCAAATGAAAATTCCATACCTTCAAACATGATATAAACCATAAAAAAGTACCTTAAAAGAACATATGAATGGATATCTTTCACCTATAGGTCAACACATTCCCAAACTGATGGGTTTTAAAATAACACATTACAGAAAACTGTATTATGTAGCTTCTAAGTAAGCAATGCAACCTATTAACCTTGATTCGAGTAACGTGAAATCCTTGCACGTTGAATTTTTAGGTGTAGTACCCCACAACATACTTTTAAACAACTTTTTCATTTAAAAGTATTCATTTTAGGGTCACTCGATCGATGCACATGTGAACTAATCATAAAAACACTTTTTTTTCCCTTACTTTTTAGATGTTTTTAGGATTTTATCATATCTAATGATATGGATAGTTTGAGCTCATCATACAAATTATATAGAAAGAATGGCTAAACACCAAACCATTCCCTTTACAGATTCCACACGGTTGCATACCTCCAACAAATCTGGTGGCTAGAAGTCGGCGGAGAGATTGACTTCTTCTTCCCAAAAGGCACTTACAGCCTCTTCTTCCGCCTCCACCTCGGCCGTGCTTCGCGGCGTCTTGGCCGTAGGATCTGCAGTCCCCAACATATCCACGGCTGGGATATACAGCCCGTTCGATTTCATCTCTCAACATCAGACGGTCAGCGGTCCCAGTCCAAATGCTACTTAGATGAGCCAGGGAGCTGGATCCTTTACCATGTAGGAGATTTCGATGTTAAGGATTCGAGAGAATCAACGACAGTGAAGTTCTCAATGGTACAGATTGATTGCACTCACACGAAAGGTGGTCTCTGTGTTGATTCTGTGTTAATATATCCCAAGGGATTTAGACCGAAGGAGGCGCCTCTGAGCTATAATAATATGCATGGATAAAGAGGCGTGTATATTTGTTTTCTTGTAAGTTAGTGTGTAGTTGTTCATTGTTATACATTTTGTGTTTGTGAAATGTAAATAGGAGGGATGAGCTATTTTAGATTCCATAAATTAGTTTATGATTGTTCCTTTTTGTTCAAGTAGTGGAGAGAAGATAATCTTAGCCAGGGGTTTATGTAGAGTTCAATGCTTTGTATGATGATAATATATATGGCACTATATAGTAGTCATTTTGTATCCATTTTGTGGTCTATTTCCCTCATTGATTTGGCTCGATAGCAGCATGAGTGCTTTTCTTATATCCGTTTTTTTTTTATTTGTTCGAGGAGATAAAAGAAACTACTTGTTAGAGATCAATGTGAATAGAAAAGGCTCAAACCTGTGGAATCAAATTGCTAGTTTCCACGATTATAGCCATCGATGCTTTTGTCATAGACTATTGCCATGTCCGTGGTTACTAGTTTATATCGATACCTGCCACTGTTATCATCACTTTTATTGCCTCCATACGTAATAAAATTACTTTTGCCTCTACACACCAATATCAGAAACCTAGTATTTCTTATATATATATATACTTTCGAAATTTTCATTGGTTTTTGGATGTATTAGACCATAATCAGTGAAAATTCCTTTTTTATGACCCGGTTATTTAGAAATCATTTTGTATTTAAAGAAAACATTTTTATACTCGTCTTAGACATCTTGGAGTTATTTATGCTTTTTAAAAAAGTTTTATTAGTTATCCAATTTTTGAAACAAGATTTATTGCTTATCCAATTTCATTCTATCCTTTATGATGTATATATATATATTTGAACATGACTATTTCACGTTACGTTTATTTACTTCTTAACGTGGGCTCAATCAAAATTTCAGAGGCCTGCATTAAGATTTAAGACCATGGAAAATGATTGTTGTACCGCAAGTTCTATACTATTTTAGTACTCTCACTAACAAATGTGTAGGGTCTTTCTTGAAAATTATCAAGAAAAAATGTGAGTCATTAGCCCAATTTTTCTTAAGGCTAGATGGCACTTAAATACCACAAAGTTTGCCCGTTTTAGCACTTAAATACGATAACCTATATTTGGTAGCAAAAAAAAATACCACAATTTTTGAAAAGTTGGCACGTTACTACCATATGTTAGTGACAAGTGGAAATATTCTAAAAAATATTCTCATATGACTCTCACGTAGGGGTGCTAAACTGTATCCATATCCGATGAAATATCTGTAACTTTTCGTTAGGATACGAATATGGTTACTAAAATCTATAACCAATAGGATATAGTTACAGATATGGTTTTGTAGTCAAATATCCGGATCCGTATCCGAAATATCTGAACAAATATTAGTCATACTGTTACGATAGTTTTAGTCCTTAGATTATGGATTTGAGGTTAATTATGATGATCAAGATGGCCTAATCTTTGTTTTTTCAGATATAGTGAACAAATTAATGAACTCTTTTGTATCACAGTTTTTTTTTAATACTATGTAGTTTTCTGATATCCATTTTGTATCTGCATGCATACCTGCTTATATTTCTCGATGTATATCCATATGGATATCCGATTTTAGCGGTTATGGGTATGAATTTTTCTTACCGAGATACACATGTATCTGTATTCGAGATAGGTAAGCAGATATGAATATGATAAGTATCATATCCGAGCCGTATTCGAACAGAATGCATCCCTGCACATGACCAAAGTGAATGTTTTTTAACCTCATTGATTGTGTTGTGTTATTTACTGTTTGTACCTATCCTCTCACTCTTTAGAAACTTTATCATTCAAATCTAAACCTAATTTCCAAATTCACACATTCTCTCTCTTGTCCTTAAATCATTGCCGAGCCATGAAATCAAGCTCAAGGGATTCAAGTTCATCAAGATTTTAGTTGACGTTCCCCAAGTACAACCCAAAATTTCCAAAAACAAGGTAAAGATCAAGTTTTTAGCTAATAACACCTTAGAGTGCAAAATCCTAGGTTAATTCCACTGCGAATCTCTAAATTTAAACACGAAACCCCTTCACCAAGATCCCAAAACAGAGTTATGATCCCCAAATTTGGGCGGAGTCCAAAATCAAAGCTCTAGGACAATCATTCTTTAGGGAGTAATGTAAGAAAATGAGTGGTTTGGGGATTTTTTTTTTTAACAGTACGGGGTATTGAATAGCTAGAAGGTCATTTTTGTCCAAATGATAAAAAAAATTAACACCGTTATAAGGATTGTAACTGCAGACATATTATGGTATTTTTTTTGGCCACGAAATACACATTATGATATTTAAGTGCTAAAGGTCGGACAAACTTCACAGCGTGTAAGTGCCATTTAGCCCTTTCTTTTTAAAGAAGTACAAATTGTTACTTGCGGTTATCAACTGTTTTTAACCGTCGGGGGGAATAATTTAAAAAAGTTGATATACAAGGGGCTGTTAGGTTGGTTTCTTTTGCCCCTGATTCTCTATCAAAACTGGCAGTTTGTTGTCAATTTTAACAGTTTTTTTGCCAAAACATTTTTTTTAACGACGTTTTGATAAGAAAACTGTCAATTTTTACAGGGAATCAGAGGCAAAAGAAGCAAAACAAACAAACTCTGCTCTCAAAACTAACCTCCAACCGACATATGTCCCAAAAGATCTTTTCAAACACGGAGATCCAGGGCCCCACATATCCGCAGATAGCTCAGAAGTGTCCAGGCGTGGGCCCCACTCAACCCCGTCCTCATCTTCATCCCCAAGCCTCTTCCCTTTTCTTGGCCCTTACTCTTCCCTCAATATATGTAGATATAATTATAATAAATAAAAGAATTGCAGTCCCAGCCTGCGCTTGTGAAAATTTGGGAATTTTCACGTGATTTTACGATGAATTTCTTCGAATTTATTGGTGATGATGCTTCGATTATGGTGCTCACGGGCCTTGATGATCCTGCTGATCTTGCCAGAGCCTGCTCTGTTTCTAAATCGTGGTACCAATTTGGTAAGATAAAGAGAGGGAGGAAAAAATCAAATCTTTACTGTTGTTTTTAGCTAAATTTGGTTGTTCTGTGATCTGGGTGTTTGATTTTTTTGGCTAATTTGGGCGTTTTTGGGTTGTATTTGTGCTGGATTGAAATGGGTAGTTCAACATCGACTGAAATTATTCCTACCCTAACAAAAAAGTTTAGATTTTCTTTATTAATTATAAGTACAATTTAGATTCTTTATCATTTTAGAGTGTGCTTAAATCTCTTATTGTATCTGATTGTAATGATTAGTGGGTGCAATTATTCAGAATACTTAACGCCTAATTGTAATGATTTAAATTTTGTAATAAAGAAAGAGGATAATGAAATATGATAACACTTGAGTTTGGGAAACTTCTGTGGAATTTTATTACTTTCTTTTTTGTCTGAGATCAATTGACCTTCTAAAATTACATGGATTCAATTGGACTTGTTAAATTAAAGCATCCCAAGTTCTTGCAGTCCTAGATCATCAAATATTGATATTTTTAATTTAATATTTATTTGTTTGTTTGTTTATCTATGAATTATTTTGCATGACGACTGTTGACATTCCCAATGGTCCCGAAAAAGGAGGGGAAATACCTCAGCGACCCCAAAATAGGGGACCATGAGTGGGAAAGAACAGTGCATCACGGGACAGGGAGGGGACACCTTACCTGTCCCACTCATTTGTCCCACTCAGAGACTCCTATTTTGGGGTCCCTGTAGCAGCACTCGGGAAAAAACATGGAGAAAGCAATCCAAGGATAAGTTATTTATTTGAAATAAATTATCAGGATGTGTTTTGGTACAACTTAGGCTTAATGTTTGATAGTTCAATTTTTACTCATGTAATATTCTAGTTCTGAAAACTTTCGTTATGGCCCTCCAGGCTGCCTTGTTATTGGCTTTTTATTAGAAAGGGGATAACAGAATCTGGTATATATGCTTCGATTACATTGTGAAGATGGCTATTCAGTGGAGGAATTTTAATGATTAGAATGTAACTAGCTAATGACGAGATTAGTTAGCTGTCCACGTCAGTGGATATTAGTAAGTGGCAATAAAGAATAATGACTATGCAACCTTTATAACTAAATTATTTGTATGTTTATTGTTAGAAGCATATGAATTTCTTTCTTTCTTTTTTTAAATATGTATCAATGTTCAAGATATTTAATGCTTTATGAGGATTGTTCTCTTCCTGTATATTAATTTCTAGGTATAGTTCCATATATCCATA